GATGTAATATGTTAAAAATAGTAAGAAAAATAATAAATTACATTAACCTTTCTTGAGAATTGGAGAAAATATGACAAATCTTATAATTTTGGAATAATTATATTATATTCATTTAACACTTAGCTCACTTTTCATTAATTATCCATTCGTCGTATAGAGAGAAAATAATATTTTCATTTATTTTATTATGAAATGCATATTATTCATCATTTATCATTGTGTTTTCATACAATTTGTATTATTTTCGATTCTTTTAGTCATACTAAAAGAGAGATCAGTGTAGTTATACCAAAACTACAGGCCTTGCAATATATTCATTAGCATATTGAAAAATGAGTGTTTAATTGTATCATGCAAGTTTTTTAAATTTTAAAATGACATTTTGGCCATTAAATTAAATTTTAACTGTTAATGATTTGTCTAATTATTTCTAATTAGATCAAATGAACTGAAATAAAATAAAAAATAAAATTTAGAAACTAATTATATAAAAATTAATAGTTTAAGAATAAAAATAAAATAAAATTTAGTTTGCGGGTGTGTGTGGTGATGGTAGCTTATAGTTAGGGATGATAAACGAATCAAATAGTTCGAGCTCGACTTGTTAAAAGTTCATTTGAGCTTAGTTTGTTAAATAAACAAGTCAAATGTGAATACATTTTAAAACTCATTAAGGTTTTTAAATCAAGCTTAAAGAGACAATTACTTGTTCGACTCGGTTCAACTAGCTTAAAATTATATAAATTACTAAATTATTCGAGCTCAGCTCAATAAAAACTCGTTTAAAATCTACTCAAAAATTTAACAAACCAAACTTGAACAAATTTTGAAACTCATTAAAGTTATCAAATTAAGTTTGAACAATTAATTGTTTAGCTTGTTTGGTTTGTTTATCACCCCTACTTATAGTCATTTTTTTTTTTTGGATTTGTTTTTGCTCTTAGTATATATTTTTTAGAAAAATTATGTCAACTTTTCTTATTTATCTTATATTTCTATTCCGTTTGTGTGGACGAATCAAAAGTAAAACAAAATTAAAAACTTTAAAAAATGTGAAGAAGCCAAAATAAGTAAAAAAAAGTCCACTATTTTTTACTTATTTTTTGTCTTTTCATTTTCTTTTGTCTTTTTTTTTTTGGAATATTTAATTTTTAATTTTTTTTAAAAAAAAATTGTCCACGATTTTTAAAAAAAATTTCATTATAGACGAAAATTAGTTGAAAATAAATAAATAAAAGAGCAAATGCTAAACACCTCATGATGGCTCGGGTTGTGCAAGATTTTTGGGCCAACACTTCTCTCTCGCAAATCCAGATGAATGACATTCCAATAACGACAACTTTCTCGCCATCCAAACAGACTCATACCCAATTTTCCCGCCCAAACCCGGATCTATCCACTGAGACTCCCAAATCAGACATCCTCAGGATTCTCCCAATACGCCACTTCCCACCAGGTAATCTCCCTCCTCCATGATATGTTCTTGAGGATCTTTATTTATTTAAATGTTTATTCAGTTTTTGAGTTTCTAAATACACGTATTAATGTCGATTCTTATGTAGCCTATTTGCTCAGAAAATGAGGGAATTGGAAAAGAATTAGCCAACCCAGTTGAGTTAAAAGCCAAATCTAAGGGGAAATTGAAGAAACGGAAAGGAAATTTGAACATTTTTATGTACTAATAAAAATGAAAAACTCATTTCCATCTACCCAAATAGTCTTCACTTGCTTCGATTACTTGGAGTTTTAGTATTCTTGAATTTTCTCAGCAACCAAACAGAACATAATCAATTACTGTTTAGTCCTTGAAATCCCTAAGCAATTACTTCAATTAAAATCTAATTCTTTGCGTATTAATGTATTACATTCTGTGTTGAAATTCTCAATGCATTCAACGAGGACCTGGCAAACAGTGGATTACATTAAGAGGCAAATTCGGAGAGAAAAAAACTATAAAAATCGAGGCTTTACGTGGGACCTCATTTCACATGATCTAGCATTATCACAATAACATATGTAATGTTTTAGTTTTTCAACGAGTGGTTAATATCTTTCTCTTTTTTTGTGGACCTTTTAGTTTGGATTATTTAGTTTTTGGCTGATGACAAGCTGAATTGATTATTTATTTATTGGTAAAATATTTCAGTAGTATCCATTGAATTTTCTGAGTTGCTCATCTCAAGATAAAGCTTTTAGTAAATATGCATTTTTTTTTTTTCCCCAACCCAATTCTACTTCAAATTAATTTGAGAACCAAGTTGGAGGTTGACTGAGGGCAATGAGGAAACTAGTCTCTGACTAATAAAATTTTAGATATCAAGACATTGAATGTCATATTTCTAAGTCATAACTAAAAAAGAAAAAAATATATATAACCAAACAAGTATAACCAAAGATCATAAGTCAACTACATAAGGTTATAACTAAATAAAAGAATTAATCATAACTAAAGAAGAAAATAACATAATTTAGGAATACATATGATAGGGAGTGTGTATAGTAAATTTTTCCTTTTGGTAGAGGTGCTTATTTTAGATATGCCAAATTTGAAAATGTCAAAATGCCGCTTATACCGTAAAATAATTTAGCATCTCCAAATCTGAATGAATTGTTAAAAATGCTTTAAGAAGTTTTTATGAAGATAGGGGCCAAGCAACCTTGCAGGGCCGACCCTTACTTATTAGGGGCCTAAGGTGAATTTTTTAAATTGGGCCTGTTATATATCATTAGCCAAAAAAAAAAAAAAAATTTTTGGAA